GTAGGTAGGTCTCCCTTAAATTTAGACTTTTAAGGGAGACTTTAAGGTTTTCCTTAAAAAGGAGATTTTGAGGTCTAAATTTTTTAACCTATACATATTTATACATTACACTCAATTAGTATGTGATTTATTTATTTTCTATTATAAGTTTTATATGATGATATATATCGTTACCGCCACCCATCATAATGTATATTGTGATATGAATTTTTTACCATATCGCATCTAGAATAACAAGGAGCAGTTGGATTTTCCTCACAGTTTCAGTCTGCTACTGCTTGATTCATCTGCAGTGTCTAGTTTTGGAATTTAAATTTAAACAATTGGCATAAAATCATTCATTCACAACATTATGGGTGTGTAGTGAAAGTCACTCACCTCTTGAGCACACCAGGCACACCTGGGGTGTGTCAGGAGGCACTCCTCACAGGAAGTAGCGCTGCCACTCATACACAAGTTGAGACCTGAGGAAAAAAAGATTGACAGGGTTCTGCTAATGATTTTACAAGCAGCAACAACTTCAGCCATGACACACCAGTGTAGCTCAAAGGTAGAGACCCCCTTTGGAAAAATTACCTTTGCTCACCTGAAACAGAAGCTGCAGTTTGTGGTGCTAAACTAAAACAACATGTCAACCAAAATGTCTGTGATTGGTAACCTCCTCTGGGAAGGTACAGGTTCTGGCGAGACTGGTCAGTGAGTGGGTTTTTGTATCCTCTGCCCAGGAGGGCCGATGTATTGTGTGTGTTCGATGTAAAGAAAATGGCGGAAGTAAAAAGAATTCTGTAAAAGTAACAAATATCATGTTTTTGGCCTTTATTTGGTAGCAGAGGATGGTTACCAATTACAGAGTTCCACCAAAGTTTGATGAAGCCAGACCATATGGGTGCTGGAAAAATAAGATCAGCAGTTGGACATGTGCTATGGATTTGAAAAAAGAAAACAGGCCCTCGCTGCAACACTGGGGCTCGAAGGAAGAGCCAGAGAGATTGCCTTGGAAATGTGTGTGGACGACTTGAACAAAGATAATGGTATGGAAACCTTGTTTGACATATTGTATACGATATTCTTAAAAGAGATTAGAGGGAGATTAGATMTAGGTCTGTAGTTGGCCAGAACTCCTCAATCAAGATCAGGTTTCTTAAGTAAAGGTTTAATTACAGCAACCTTAGAGCTCTGTGGCACATAACCATTTATTGGATATTTATGGACATTAATCAAGGGAAATGCTTCTTTGAACAGTCTGGTAGGGATGGGATGTAACAGACATGTTGATGGTTTGGATGAAGCAATTATTTTAGATCATTCAGAGCTCAACAGGACAAAAACTGTCCAACATAAATCCGGTTCTAGTAAAGCTGCCTCATCTGACAGAGAATCAGAGACAGTAGCAGGAAGTTTGGCATGAATTTTATTCCTTAATAAAAAAATCATCTATAAAGAATCTCATGAAGTCATCACTACTTAGAGTTATAGGGATACATGTCTCAACAGAGACAGGACTTTTCATTAGTC